GTGGCCCAACAAAATCTATTACTTTCAGTAAAAACTTTGTAGGTATTACATCAAGTGGGCTGGAGGACACTCTCTCTATTTGTGATACTGTTTTTAAAAGCTCAGACAAGTCGATGGGATAAAACTGGTTAAAACTCTCTTGTTGCTGGTGAGGAACCTCTGAGTAAGAGGCTCAGTGAGTGAGGTCATCCATAAAGGCTCTGATGGGGGGGCTGTGAACACCAGACATGGACAGAGGGCCTTGGCACAGTTTCAGCTGCCTTGACCAATAGTCTGATTTTACATTACCAGAAGTTAATCAGAGACTGGAGTTCCCGTAGTAGTTCAGGATGAGGGGCTTGATCTTACTGGGTACATGGTTCCGGTCCAGGTTAGCCTCAACCAGCTTGTGGGTTATAGAGACCTAGTGTGTTTTCATTCAAGTGGGATATTGTAATTGTAAAGTTGTGTGTGCACTAGTAACTTGTCTACAGATCTCCATCTGGGAGATGTTTTACTGCTACTGATCTCATTGAAAGTAATTTAGCTGTTTAAAATAGTAGCTGGTTCAGCAAACAGATTCGGTTGTAAATCTCAACTCTACCTAATAGAATAGTAACTCGCGCAAGTCATTTTAATGATGCTTTTAATTATTGAAATTTCCTTCGAGGTCAAGAGTGGAATGACCTTGAGTCGCTTTATCATCAACTCGACAGGCAACCGACAGTAAGAAGGTCACAGTCAGAGACACACACCTTTCAAAAGATTCCCATGAGCTACAGCTCACAAAGTACTTATGTACTCAACTGAACAATTGCTGTTTTTGTGCTTTGCATTTCTCGTTCGGCTTAAAAAAGACCACCTGATAAATGATGACACATGCTTTTGTGGCCATATTTTTTTTTCTAATTCCAGCATTTATTACAGATGAAAAATTTAAAGCCAAATAAAATTTGTCAGATAGACAGCTATGCTTTCAAGTCATGTGTTGTCAAATCTTGTGATTTTTTTTCTATGGATTACTTAAATTTTTATTATTTTGGGGATACTTTTTACATACTATAAAATAGCATTGCTGTGGTACCTCTCTGTGTGCATTGTTCGGTACATTTTTCTTATTCCTTTTGACAATTGGCCAGAAAATTTATTCACAGTTCTTTTTTAGTCACTCCCTTAATTTGAAAGTTGAAGAGGTACCTAGAGTTACTGTTTTGTGCAGATATTCAACATTCGTTGACAAATCAATCACAGAAACGACATACTCTATGTATGTATATATGGCACAACAACAGGCACTCAGTACAAGATCAATAGAGGCTGCGGTCTACCACATCAGGTAGGACCTCAGATACAGACTGTGGAAGGATGCCCCTGAGACAGCACAGCACAAAACAGCAGGGTGTAAGATGCAGCTAGGAAGTGCGTACATGGAACGCCATAACCAGGTAGCTGGCATAGTGTACAGGAACATCTGCCATGAGTATGGGCTGGAAGTCCCAAGGTCAAAAGACACCTACTAAGGCAGTTGAGAATGACCAAGCTAAGATCCTGTGGGACTCCCAAGATCCAGACTGACAAACTGGTGATGGCTAACCAACCAGACTTCATGTTAATCGACAAACAGCAGAGGAAGGCTGCAGTGATAGATGTGGCAATCCCAAGCGAGAGCAACATCAACAAGAAGGAACACATGAAGCTCGAAAAACACCAAGGGCTGAAAGAGGAGCTAGAAAAGATGTGGAGAGTAAGAGCAACAGTGGTGCCAGTGGTAATCGGAGCACTGGGGGCTGTGACCCCCAAACTGGGAGAGTGGCTCCTAGATTCCAGGTACAACATCTGAAGTCTCTGACCATAAGAGTGCAGTCCTAGTAACAGCCAAGATACTGTGCAGAACCCGCAGACTCCCAGGCCTCTGGTAGAGGACCCGAGCTTAAAGATGAGGGGAATTGTATATTTATATAGCTAGCATAGCGCGTATTGTTTCTGACAAAGCCAAAACTTACAAATGTTTTAGCATTAAATATAAACTCTGACATTGCTCGCATCTGTCTTCTGGTAATTTATTTGTTTGTTACAGGATAAATGCATGACTGCATTCTTCTTTCTGTGGACCTTGTGATTAAGAGGCATCCTAAAATAATGTCTTCAGTTGGCTTGCAATGCATCAGCAGGCACTGTGTTTGAGCTTAAATCACCCCGGGTACTCTGAGTGACTCCATGAGAAATGGATGCTGTTCCTGCTGAGTCTACAGTTTGCCTGATAGATTGTGCTGCTTCAGATGCTATTGAATTGGTCGTGATAGAGCATCTGAATGGCCTGAAGAATATTGTGAACTAAAAGCTGTGGGGTGAGTGGTAAGTGACCTTGGCACTCAGTGCTCTCTCATTTCACGGTTATGATGGAAGATGTTTGCCCTGTGTTTTTACTGTTTCTGTGGCACTCTGTCCTGCCACTCACTGTCATTTTCATTTCCTCTGCATGAAAAACTTCAGTGCGGATTAACTCACCGATACAAACCAGACAAACACTTTGACATCTTTTTATTTTGTAATGCCCCATCCTTAAGGTGGCTGTATGGGGCAAACAATAATCCAACACTGACCCAACCCAACCACTTAAAAACAACTTTAAAACAAGGCTGAGCGGCAGAAAAATCAGCAGTCCCAATTTAAAAAGCCTCTCCATTCTGATGCTGGCACAGGAGCTTTTAAAGACCTCTTTCCTAGGCCAGGTGGACTTCATTCAGCAATCAGTTGAAGCACACCAAGGGCAGAACTAGAAGATCGAACAGGGGAACACATATAGCTGTATCAATTTAAATGAATGAGAATTGGTGGAAGGACTCAAAGTGAATATTTGCATTTTATACCAGGTAAAATGGGATTAAATAAATCAAAAAACAACCAGCAAAGTATTTACTTTTTAAGCATGAAACTCATGCCAAACTCTCATCAAATCATAGTACAGCTGATGGAAGTATTACAGACGAGGGCCCTTTGGGGGTGCTGCTGGTCTGATTCAACCATCACATCCAGATATCCAGGAGGCAGTAACTTTACAAAGCACAGTGGCGTGTTACATGACATCCACTTGATTGGTTGCCTACACTGCACTAGCAATACAAGTAATTTTGTAATTTTTTTTTTTCACATTGCCAAAGATAAGGAAGCACAATCAATGCATACTGTTTGGGCTGGCATGATGTGCTAATAGTTACAGAGGCCACAATTTCAGTTCTTATGACAGCTATTAAGAACATTGTACAAATATTACCTTTAACAAGATGCACACCACTGTCTCATCGTAAGTGTCAAAATACTGAAGCGTAAAGTAAGTGAAAATCATAAAATAAATATGGTGTAGATTGTAATGGTCCCTGAGCATTTGTCCACAATGATACCACAGTACTTTACCTTGTTTTCATGTAGAACAGCTACAGCAGTACAATACAGTGGGCTGCTGATGTGTGTAATAGAGTTCTTGTGTGGCAAGTGTTCAATTTTTAACCATCCTGAAGCTAACTGAGTACACTTCAGTCAAGCATGAAGATATCATTATATTATATTATTATTATTACATGCAATAATATAACACCACATAACATATAACAAGATAATGCATGCTGCATAAATATACGGGGCAATGGCCATCATCTCTGGAAGTTAAAGACAGTGTTGATGATGAGTGGCAAAGGTTCAGTGTGACTTTGTTTCATTGCACCCCACTAAGAAATAAAATAAATCCCATTGCAAATCTCTCGGATTTGCAATGGGATGAGAATTCTACATAAACATTACACAAACAAGACAGAGGTGAACATGGAGACAGATTTAAATATTGAGCCAGAAAATTAAGCTTCACCTTCAGATTATTCCAGATATTTAGGAATGAGACATTTGAAAATGACATTTTAAAAACAATCCAAAATGTTGGAATTAAAAGAATACAGCAGCATTTGGTGTAACCACGGATTAATTACAAGCAGTAATAAAACCATAATAGGCACTTAGTGTTAATAACGGGGAAATTCAATGGTATCACAATGGAACGGTAATAAAGCAGCCATCCATCCATCCACTGTTGCTCTTCCCAACCCTCTGCCTGACTTTTCTCTGTGTCGATCTTCTCGGTCATACTGAAAACATTCTACTGTCTGCTGCTTTTATGTTGCAGAAATGTTGCCAAAGCGTTTCAGCAAGACAGACTGAACAGCAAATCCAGTCACTTCTGACTTCTTACTTCTGGATATCATGAGCATGGTGATGACTGAGCATCCTCACCAACATCTTTTAGCTTCAAAGCTTTGTTCTGTACATTTACACTATAAAGCTGCTTAACACACACACACCTCAGTCTACTACACCTCCAGCACTTGGCAGCTCCATTAGAGAAGCTGTGGAATTTCATGTCTCGCTGCACCTCACCAGACACTGATGAAGAATGGAGAGGACAGTGGTGACCTTCTTCTATGACTAGGATATCTCATGGTGAATTACATTATAGTGAAAATAAAATAGACAAGTGTCAAAACACAGAATGATATGAATTTTGTGGCGTGGTGGTTCGAAACACACTAAAAGCTAGATCCAAACACATAATGCCTCCTTGGACTAGTGGACAAGTCCGACAAAGATGGTATCTGATGTAGGGACACTGTTAAATGTGAACCCATCTCACAAAGATATTGGTTTATTGTTGCAGTATTAATCTGCAAAGTAATGTACAGAACACAACATTTGTTCTTGACAAGGAGGCTAAAGATGTGCTGTGTCATGTTGATCCAGTTGATTTGTCACTGTGAGTGTGTGTGTTATAGGGATCTTTCAGAGAGTGCCCTGATGAAATGTTGCATTTTTTTGTGGCTATGATTAAGCTGCAAAGGTAAAGTGATGATGTAGGGAAACACATTGAGGGAGAAGGGTTTAGAACAGAGAGAAACACAGAGAGATTACACCTCCCTCACTGTGATTTGGTCTAGGCCTATAGATGGGAGGAGGGGGAGGAGGAGCATCAATAACACCCGCCTGAAGGACGCAGAACTGCGGCTCGGAACCGGGCTGAGAAACCAAATCCAGTCGGTACCGGTCGTGAGTGGAGATGTCACATCCCGGATGTGGGAAAACAGAGTCTTGTAGTTCCACGTCGGATTTCAGAAGCCGTCATATATAGGCTACATGCGTAGCCTACGTATTAGCCGATACGCACTGGCTGGACAGGCGGTGAAGAGAGGTCGCTGACGGACTGTGCGTAACGCTGAGTGGACAGCAGTATTTCTCGCTGTATATTCTAGCCTAGACGGGCTCCTGACAAGAGATTCGCACTTCTTCTGCAGTGCACTTCGTCATTATAACCAGATGCCCTCCGCCGGACCGGACCCCTTCAGTTTCATGCCGTCCAACCCGACCGGAGCCTGAGCCGAAGGATGCAGGTTAAAAACCAGATCTGCACAGAGCGGAGCAGCACCGACGACCCGGAGCAGGATGACAACCAGAAGAAGACCTCGTGTTTTTCCAACATTAAGATTTTCCTGGTGTCGGAATGTGCGCTCATGTTGGCACAGGGCACAGTGGGCGCCTATCTGGTGAGTTTCTACAGAACAGACAGCACAGACACAAGGTTGGTCTGAAGGAACGTCGTATCTCAGTAGGCTTTATCTCAGGTAACATCGGGTTAACGCAGCGCCCTTCAAACCGGCACAGACAGACAGTGAGTAACGATACGGTTAATAATCATATTATTCTGATCACATCAGAATAATCACACCCTCCAGTAACCACGGGACGCGGTGCTTTCACTGATTGATGACTTGCTGCGTATTATCCATCAGGCCTATGCACCATCTGCATGACACAAAGCGCGTCACAGCGGCCGCAGACTCCACGTTGTTGTTGGTGAATTTTATATGCGTATATGGATGGTCTGTTGGAGAGCAGGTTACGAAACACTGGTCAGGAGCTCCATCCCACCTGCCGGTTCTTCTTCATTATGCATCAGTAATGCAGGGGGCCTTTGACACTGGCGGATATAGCCTAGGCCTAGGAGATGACGTGATCGCCACAACAGAAGCGACATAGCGTAAATTTCATTATCGGAAAAGCTTCCTTTCACTTTTAACGAATTTACACTTCAATGTCACTTAAAAATAAGGTGTTATTTTATGCATTGATATCCTTAGATGGATGTCAAAGTGCTACGCTCTATTCAGTAGATGAACACATAACGGTAAAGGTAAAATGATTTTAGGAGCCAAAAGAAAATGCAACTTTTCTCTTAAATAGCAAAGATTTCAGGCACCATCACTGATGCAGAGGTGAAAGTATCTTCCCTAACACCTAACGTATTCATATCTGTTTATGGTGTGTCTAAAGCCAACCACAGCAGTTTCTAATGTATTTGTGTGGTGATGTCTACCTACATTAGTCAGAGATGGCTCAACCACTTACTGTAAATCAGTATAAATATGATGCCACTTTAATCAGGTCTATTATTTGCCTAATTAAAGCCAATTCCCCTGATAGGTGTCAGCACAGTCTTGATACTATAAATAACTGCACATGCAGGTTGGGGGGAGAACAATTAACTGTCCAAGTCATCTTCATTCAGTCATAATGTCAGTGGCTTGACTCTCATTACATGTGGCTTTTCTATTGGTGCAGCCTTGGCGTGCTGGTTCAGGTGAGAAAAACAACAAAAGGCCAAAAATTATATGGAAATAATCTGTGTAAGGACCTGAGCTAATCTCCAGAATCTAACCTGTACGTTGTCAAATAGAGATGTTGAAAAAGAGACCTTGTTCAGAAAAAGATGCTTGAACTTGCCTTAAAAGAAAACGTCTTCCACATGTGTGAAGACTGCAACTTGGCATAAAAACGAGTTGATTTTAATGGGTTTTGCACCAGTAACAAATATAAATCCATTAGTATTTACCTTGAAGACTGCAGTGGAACGTCCTTTTAACCAGCATCCCAAACCATAAGTGCACGATTAGCAAATTCCGCTGCAGACAAAAGCACTGTGGAAGCACTGCCTATCCTCTCCTGTATAAAATGTTGTTTTTCATCATTCTTTGTTGTCTGTCTCTATAATTCAGCCACTTTCTTGGTTCACAGTGTGCCTTTATTTTCTCCTCTTTTTTTCAGTAGCACATTATTTTGTTTTACAAATAAATCACAGTGAAACTTTTGAAGAAGACAAGCTATAATGACTGAAGATCTGTCAGTACAGCAGCACTTGCATAACCGCCTTCCATAGCTTAGTATACATTCATCAGACTGAAATGGGCAGATTTTCTCTTTTCTCCATTTTCTAAAACTCTACAACAATTTGAACTGTCTGTAAACACTGAAGTGGATTGGACTAAAATGTCTCAATACGGAATGTTAAACATGTACTATGTACATGTCCATCAGTTCTCAGTGAATGAAGCCATACATAAATCTTCTACGGCCACAAGAGTAAATCTTAACCCTGTTGTTTAGATTCTGTCACCTCTGAACTCTGTCTTCACAGCTTATAATGTCAGGTAACTGTGAATTACAACTTTGTAATAATTCTAGTAAACAGTGCACAAAGTTTTATGTAATTATTTTATTTAACCCATATTTAACCAGGTAAGACCAGTTGACATCAGTGATCTCTTTTACAAGGGAGACAGCAGCTTAAAAAAGGTTACAGATGACAACCACAAGAAACATACAAGATAGACATTTACATGTCAATATTAACAAATTTTAAATTCAGAATCAGCTTCATTTGCCAGGGTTGTGTACACATATAAGGAATTTGACTCAGGATTGTACAGTGCTCACGCTGTGCTTACTCAGACAATAATACAATAACACAATAATAAAATAGAGAAATAAAATAGAGAACACAAATATACACACTATTAACAAGCACAATATAGACAGATTGACAAATAGTGCAGTGACCAGAGTGCAAAGGATACAGGAGTAAAATTATTACTATCATTATTATGTACATTTCGGAGGTGGATGAGATATACTGGTACATATACATCCATGTACTCATGTACGCAGTGCGATGGATCATAGTGCAAAGGATGCTGGAATAAATAAGCATTATGTGCAGTTGTTATGTACTTGAGGTAGCTGGATTTGGTATATGGTATATACAATATGACAATATAACTGTATGAATAGTATAAAAAGCACTGAAATAGAGAATGATGAATAAATAATAAGTGGTAACCAGTGAACAGGTGGCTGATTAGAGACAGAGTTACTGGGTTATTGCACAGAAATTGTTCCTAACACTGTGAGTCAGAAATAAGCTGTTCATCAGAGTGATGACCTACACAAAGTAAAAAGTAACAACCGCACTTGCACTTATAAGAGTGAAGAATTACAGATAGTTCATCCTCTTTTGGAGGACAAGAACATAAGATAGACAAACAAACTATTTGTTATCAACTGTTTTGATTCATTGTTTCAACTATAAATGCTAAACATTGCTTAGTTCCAACCTCTCAATTGTTAGGATTTTAAGCTTTTGGTTGTTTTATGTGATAGTAAATTGAATATCCTCAGGGGGAATATTCAAGTTGTCATCTTTAGGATATTATGATTTTTCTCAACATTTTATACACTAAACAATTCATCAATTAATAGGCAGATTAATCATTCATGAAAATGGTCGCTGGTTGCAGCCCTATTTGGTGATAAACAAGACAACCTGAAATTGTCTTATTTTGCAACAGAGTTTAGTGTGACAGGATAAATGGGATAAGGAATATAGAGAAAAGATGATTGGATATTATACGTGATCCATCTCATTTCACTTGCATAGTCATGGCTACATTCTCCTTTTTATCTGGAATTGCTTCAAGAAGTCTCCAGGCTTATGCTGTACCTTTTGCTGTGGATGAATTATTAATAAAAGTTTAAAATAATACCTGGCCAACCTTTTATCGTCAGTCCTGTTGATGATCCAGCATACATTTGATGGAGGCACTTCATACTTACACAGCTGCTACAATGTGTTTGTGTCAGTTTCATAATTAGAACAGCTGCATTAGGTTTATGCCTAAAGCCACACACATGCACCTTTTCCCAGGATGGCATCTGGCTAGCCTCAGGGTTGTTTTGGATAAAGGAGGAGGAGTGTGGTGATGAAGATGTTGGAAGCAGCTCAACTGCTGTGTGTCGTCAACAGGTTGCTGTTGTTGATTTCTTGTGGCAGATGGCTCTTTCATACCTGCTTTTACTGAATAGCTGAAGAAATTAATCTCAGTGCCCTGCCTCATTATATTACACAATATTTTTTAAATGTATAAAATGTGTACTTCTGACAGGTTGATACAGTCTTAAGTGGCTACTAGTTGTAAAAACACTGTATAAAACTTGCTTTCTCTTTCTCCCTAATTCTCTCTCTCTCTGTCAGGTAAGTGTTCTGACCACTCTGGAGAGACGTTTCAACCTCCAGAGTGCCGATGTGGGCGTCATTGCCAGCAGCTTCGAAATTGGCAACCTGGCCCTCATCCTGTTTGTCAGCTACTTTGGCGCCAAGGCCCACAGACCCCGCCTTATTGGCTGCGGCGGGATTGTCATGGCATTGGGGGCATTACTGTCAGCCCTGCCAGAGTTCCTGACTCATCAGTACGAGTACGAGGCCGGGGACTCGTGGCACGCTGAGGATGGCAGAGATGTCTGCTCTAACACCTCCAGGTCAGAAAACCGAGACTCTGGGTTTAAATGTGGCAACAGGGCCAACACCAACATGATGTACCTTCTGCTGATTGGAGCCCAGGTTCTGCTGGGCATTGGAGCCACACCTGTCCAGCCTCTGGGAGTGTCGTACATTGATGACCATGTTCACAGGAAGGACTCCTCGCTGTACATAGGTGAGTAGCACTGAGCACTGAGAACGAGTGAAACATATAAGCTGATAGTCAAGTCTTTATCACCAGCTCCTGCACATAACTCCCTGTAAATATAGAACTCACCCAGTGAGTGACAGGTGGGTGCCTTCTCAGGTGGCTAGCTGCTAGGTGGTTCAGCAACCAGGCTTCATTTGGCCCGCCTGAGCTCCACCTCTCATTTTTGGATTAGCCAGAGTCAGACACTGCCAAGATGGCAACAGCCAGAGCCGCTAGGATCTTCCCACATTGAGCTTCACTGAGCTTCTATGGCGTGGACATGAGAGTTGTATCAAATTTCTCTCGTCTAACTCTTACCCAAAATGTCAAACTATTTCTTTAATCATGTGCATTTGAACAGCAAACACTTGGACTAGCTACAAAGTGACTACAAATCCTTGAACCTACCAGAAGGAATCAGCTAAAATCAAGAAAGTGATTAATAATGATAATTTCCACATATACAATTCATTTAATGAAACCCCAAACCTGGCACTGGTAGTGGCCTGTTGTACATACCTTAGTGTTGTCCTTCCCATCTGGGATCTTTGACAGGACAACGTGACGGTTGATGTACATATTTTTGGAAGGAATGGTCTCTTTAGTTTTATGCCTGAGCCACTTATATGGTTCTAATATACTGTTACTGAAATTAGATTTGGCATGTTATCAACGGCTGTTGATGGCACTGGGTGCAAATGCCAGTGCACTCGATGACGCCAGATGTCTGTTCTTCTACACCAGAAGATGGAGTCTATGGATGGAGTGAAAGAAATGATAGATGAAAATAATATTTACAACCACAACACTGGCTCTGGCTAAGCTAAAATTTACAGCTAATAATTAATGAAGAAGATGATTTAGAGCCAGTCCCGCTGTAGCAATAAAAAGCATAAAAAACATTTCCTTGATTCCTGAACTAAACAACAACTAGCAACAGCTTGATTCTTCACGCTCTTGCATTTGGCTGTTGCAGTTAACTGGAAGTAATAAAAAAACAAAGGCTTATGGCATAATAAAATCTGAACAATCATAATATCTATATCAGTATAAGTAAATGGGGTGATTATGTTGGTGCAAGTGAAACATGACCTATGACATTAATCATTCACGTGTGCACTAAATGATCAGCTCTACTATCTATGAACACCGAGGCTCATTTTAAAATGATAAGATTACCATATTACAGTAAACAAAATCTTATTACTAATACATATAATCTCCTCTGAATCATATTTAGTCATGATTAGTTAGACAAATGGTTAATGACAGGTGCACATGCAGCAAAGTAGGTTAAAGAAAGCAGTTGTTGGGAGGTAAGGCGGGTTTTAGGCTTTAGTTAATGCGCAGTGCAATGTATAGATACAGAAGGCGTCACAATCAAATCACAACAAATGGAAATAGACACCAGAGTATACAAAAGATCATTAGAGAAATTGAATAAATCAAAAGTGTACAACAATAAAACAACTTCAGTTCCTATGTCAGTGTGCATGAATGCCCAGAAGGTGAAAAAAATATAAAGTAAGAATTTCTTTTGAAAATAAGGCATCTCACATTTTAGACATATACCTCTTAATGTAATAATATTGACACTGACTAAGGCTTCATGCCAGCAAGCATCTCTGCCTATGAATCTGAATCTGAATTCTGAATGCCTACCAGCTCAGAAGGTGTTGCAGTATCCTCGCAGGATCAATGTGGATTATCATCTTAATCCCAAGTAGTATAATTGATATATCTGTACTCTCTAAGCTAACTGCTGGTCTTACCACAGTCGACTTCTCATAGATCACCTGTCAACTAATTTATTTCCTGTTTACTTCTAAACAAACTGAACGTTGTTTAAAAGAGGAAGGGTGACTGAAATGATGCAAAGTAACCTCCTGCCCGGTCTCATCCGGATGATGAAGTGGCTATTGTGGTCAGTAGTTTTGGTACACTGGAACCAAATAATAGAAATCTACAACTTTCTGTTTAGCCTGTCCTCTCCTCTCCTCTAGCTCACATCAAGACCTACTGTATGTCATGCAGTGTCAGTGTGTGTGTGTTTGTGCATGTGTGTGTCCTTTTGCCATTGTCATGTTTAGTCAGTCTAAGTCACAGACTGAGGTTTGTTGACCCTGTAGTTTGTTCATTGTTTTCTATCCAGATGAAGGGTGTCACTTAGTGTTGAAAAGTGTTGGGGACATAGGGGGATCTGGTTGGACCTCTCACAGGAAAGTTTGATCTTTAAACACTTCTTTACCTGCATTCAGGTGAAAGTTTCTGTACCGAATTTATGGTGGAAATGCGAATTGTTAATGTTAATGAAATTTTATTTATGAAACACAAAATTAAGTTGACAGGTGACATTTCAAAATACATAAATATAATATAATATAATGCAGTGCAGCTCTCAGGCATTCTGTGATGCTTTCAGATCTGTTTCTCCTGTAGATCAACTTTTCTCATGTAATTTCATCCCTGCTGAGGCAACACATATGTAGACATGATTTAGTCTTCCCTCCTCTTTTGGCATGTTCAAAGGGGGAGAACAGAAAACTTGGCAACAAAGAAGTTTTTTGGACAATGCACATTTGTTTCTGCCATATTTTAATGGCATTGCATGTTTTCTTAATGTGCAAATAAACCTTTCTAAAGGCATTTTCATTTGATATTTATCTGCAAGCTATATTTCAATAGAAGTATAACAAATAATACTTTAAAAAAGTGGTGAGGACAAATCAGCCATTTCAAAAAGTGGTGGGGACATGTCCCCAGCGTCCCCAGTGTAAATGACACCTATGATAAGATAAAAATAAGAATATATTTAATAGCTAGAATAAATAAACAGGGCCCTTTGGTATCACTGCAATTAACATGTTTTGCTGACAGAAAATAAATACATTGTAACTTCAACTTCCAGTGCACACAATTGTATTTCTTGTTATTAAAAAATAGTTAAATACTCTATGCAATTTTAGGACATGAGACAGGTCCAGAAACATGTTTCTGTGATACTGCACTATGCAGTATAGACTTAGTTTTATCCTACCCAGATAATGAGTTTGGTCAGTGGATGGAAATATCCCTGACTATTGAACATGTTAGTTATGTGGAGGGGGATGCACAAGTCCATCAATACTTGTATGCTCTTCTTTTTTGAATGGTGTCATTCACTACTATGTTGCTGTGTGTAGTAGCTAATGTATGCCATATCTTATCTATTACGCAACAATAAATGAGAACCTTAATACTACATTCCTTGATTTTGTTGTAGCACCCAAATTATCTTCCATCTCACAAGTGATGTTTTGAAACAGCTAATTTGTAGAAAAGGTGCAGATTTTTGGGTCACTGTTAGATGTGAGACGTTAGAGAAGCAGTCTAGTGAACAGAAGATTGTTTTCTAACAATTTAATATCCTATATTCCCTGTATTGTCATTGACAGGGGAATGGCAGGTCTGATCCTGCCTTCTCTCACATACGTGCCCTTGAGCAATGCACTTTATTCCACACTTCAGGAAATGTTCAGTGGCCAGCAGCAGAGGACTGCAGTTATACTTGCAGCAGAAACCAAGAGATCGACATAACACACATTACAGCTTGTCTGCCAAAGTTGCCTAGGCAACAGTACAGAGACAGGCACTGAGGCTACAGTATGTGCCATTCCTGCTCTCACCGCTCAGCGACCTGCTAGCAGCAGAACTCCATCTGGGGAGATGGAGAGAATGAAACAAAGGACAAATGAAAAAAACACCCCATTATTAATAAAATAAGGAATGTATATGTAAACATTTAATTGTTGTAATTGTTTTGAGAATAGGATTTCAGACAATAATTAAATCTGATATGTGTATTTCTTACAAAAGCTGTGATTCTTCTATGAATGGAAACAGTAAAAGCAAGTAATACCATGTGACAGACTGATAGATGCTTGTCAGCATGTCAGACTGCCAAACTTTGCAAGTAACATGCAACTGTGGTGGGTTGGCTGCAGTTTATTTAGAAAGATTGCACTGACAGTGAGAAAGTACACTGGTCAATCTAAAAATCTATCCTATATTGTGCTATTCACATTTTTGCAAATGCAAGAATAATGGTAATGGTATTGAATCAATAATTATCAGTTCATGTTATCGACCCAGAAATTGCATATCCCTGCATCTCTACTTATTGGGATATTTTACAGCTGGATATGACATTCAGTTATTATATGGTAATATATACTAAATCACCATCACATTAAACCTTACAGAGCTGATGTAGCAATAAGCCAAAGCACAACTGTTGTTTATGTTATTCTGTAAAAGTTCTTGTGCTGAAGTTCCTCTTCTTGTGGATTCATCAGTTTGCCCTTATGGGATAAATAAAAGGCACTAAAGGAAAATAAAAAATACAGTATTGTTGGCTACCATGTGGCTAGTTGCTCCTCTTTACAGGCTTCTCTTCTTGTCTTTGGCTAGTTGCGTTGTCCCTGCTTGCGTTTCAGTGCAGACCTGCAGGGTGAGAAGGCCTGCGGTTTGTTCTGAGCATGCTTTGATCTGTACAGTCTCTGCCAGCAGTACTCAGAGTGGAGGAGGTGGGAGGCGGGGGCAAACAAGGCTAGCACAGCACCCAACAACCCACCCTACCCCTGCTTGGCTAGAGGCCAAGTCATGCCAGATGTCTGATGTAAGACACTACACTTTATATTTTTTTGCTATAATTTTAGAAGATTTTAAAGTGTTCTCTGCACTTTACTGAATTTAATGCGCTAGTCCAACATTGCCCCGTTATAATGTGTGATATGTGTTAAACCATCAGCACAACAACATCAGCATACTAATATGCTCACAGTGATAATGCTAACATGCTGGTGTTTAGCACGTATATTGTTTAGCCTACCATGTTCACCACCTTAGTTTAGTATGTAAGCATGCTCATATTTGTGAACTAGCATCAACCAACAACAATGCAGGTATTCAGTCAATTAGTACTGGACTAATTGAAAATTAAAGTA